AAGCCACCAGCCAGTAACAGGTACGGACAGTACTGTCTTGAGTGACAGGTTCATATCTGCTCTAGCGCTGGTGAGTCTGGAGTCATTAGTGTGTCCTTGTGGGCTGGGCCGAAGCTCTGAAGTGGTTGTGTAATCTCTGTTCTTGGTTACAAAATGTTTCTTTTTTGGAATACTTTAAAGCAGAACAGTCTGGGAAGAGTGGTTTGTGATCTGAGCAGCTCTTTTGTGCTTCGGGAGCCTGTGTGCTTCAGCTCTGTATCTCTTCTGGCCTTTGAAGGAATAGCCACATTCCCCACTGCTGTGACCGTTGGTCTTTCCTACAAAGTCAAGCAGTGAGCATGCAGCATGGGGGGAGAGTTCCACGCTCCAGTCACTTACCCTGGCCCTTAAAGTAGGGAGGCAATTTAAGCCTCAAGGACCAAATGGTTTTATCTTAGACAAGATAGGTTCTCGTATCTTAAATGTCAAAATATAGTTAAAGTGGTGCAGTTAAGTAAGATGTTGGTTAGGTCAAATGTTTTCAGGAAACAAGGATGAACACAGCAGTATCTACGGGAATGCAGGTGTTAGATCCGTTCACTGAATGACTCATCTCCCAGCTTCTGCAAATTCCCCTTGAGAAAGGTCATCTCCAGTATTACGCTAATAATACTTTATTTCCTGGGTATCTGTGGCTCTGGGATTGGGCACTGCACACTTAGGCTGGCTTGGGACTCCCAGCAAGAGGCAAAAAGCATCAGAGCTGAGCCTGAGTGGAGAAGCCCTGATTTTGGGGTTGGTTTTAGAATTGGATCTGTTAACTCAAAGCATCAGAGTGGGCTGACTGGAGTAGGGGAGCTAAACTTCTCCAGGGATTAATATTAAGCCCTTGTTTAATGGTAAACAGCTGATGAAATCCACCTTTGGCTCTGGGTGCCAGCTGTCAGGAAGGTACATCCAGGCCACCTCACAAGGACAGAACAAGCCTTGGCAGAGGGCGGGGGAGAGTGCCCGACTCTGTCCACAGGTCACTTGTTTTGTCTTGTTTTGTGTAATCCACTTGCCCCAGCAGCTTCCTCACAGAGGGGCTGCTGCTTTGACAAAATAGCAGACCAGCCCTGCTCCAGCAAGGGGCTGTGATCTCAGATTAGACAGCTCCTCCTCAACAAAGCCGCCAGTGATAGCAGAGTCCCCAGGAGCTGCAGGACAAAGGTGCTCGGGCCAGAAGGAGACGGAGCCAGATCCTCGCACGTGGGCACTGCATCCTCTAAAGAAGCTGCCTGTGCCTGAGGCTGCTCTGTTTTATAGCCGCTCTGCTCGCTGCAGAGCAGTGCCAGCCCTGCCGCTGGCAGGCTGCATTCTCTGCCACATCCCCCTGCTCACCTCCCCCCTTGCCAAGGCAGCCTTTACTCCGCCGCATCAGAGCGAAGGCCCGGCGCCTGTTCAGCTTTTGTTCTCTGTTAGGAAAAACTGAAGATTGTCAGGACCTTTTTGGCTCTGCCAAGGCCTTTTATGTCCCAAATGTTTCCATGAAAAGACTCCCTCCTGATCATCCTGCCCCCTGACAGCCATTCAATCCAGCCAACAAGCTTGATATCATTATCTACAAAAGGAGGCCAGTGAGTACCAGGGTCCTCACAGCCAAGTTTGGGAAATCAAAGGCAAATCTCCCAGCAACAGAGAGCTGGCGGAGATCAGACTGCACCACAGCTAGTGCGGGCTGGTCTGGCAGCTTGCGTCCACTAGTTTTCAAAGCACGAAAGGAACGTGCTCGGCGTGGTGCCAGCACTGGCTTTGTCGGCGCTGAGGCTGCGCCCACCTGCGAGCTGGCAGCCCCTCACGGAGTTCCCTGGGGAGCTCAGCGTGGGTTAGAGGTTGCTGGAAGCAGTTGTAAGTTTGAACAGCCATGCAAAGCTGTCTCTTTTCGGTCAGTGGCATTTTTAGGAGATTAACCACTTAGTATGAGGGAAAACAGTGATGTTTTTGGTCAGAGTGGGATTTGCTCCAAATGTCACCTGGAACTTTCCTTCTAATGACTCTGGTTTATGTTCTGAAAATGGCATGTGGCTGTTTTGTCACTTTTAGTTTGCCATAATGTTCATCTGCTTTCCTCCCTGTCCAAAGACTTCCTTTCCAATCCGTCTTAAAATAGAGAGCTCTTCAGCAGTGAAAGCACTTACCATTTTGAAGGCATCTGTAGAGGTGATCTGGAAAGGTGACTGTCAGAAACACTGAGCACAGAAAGGGCTTGAGGAGGGATGGCACATTCCTGTGTTGCAACTGTGTTAGGAAATACAGGTGTAAAACTGTTTTCAGTACATTTTATCTCACAGACTGCATCTCTGGTTTGCTTGATAGTCCAGATAGAGAGGCATATAAAAAATAGCCAAGAGAAATGATGATGCAGAATGAAGGAAAGTAAAGGGACCTGACTTAACTGAAGCTTGGGTGGAGACAGGATGGTGGTGTGGATGATGATGCTGGGTTCACCCCTCTCTGCAGCAGGGTGCTCTGCACTCCCTGGGCAGTGAAAGGAAGGTGGAGATGGGGTGACTGCAGGGCAATGTGTCACCAAAGCCTAAAGCAGCTCCTGGGATCCCTGTGGGTCTGCAGCAGGTGATGAATGCATAGGAGGGCGGAGTTGTGTGTAACATGGAACGATTAATTCTGACACTTTTCCCTCCTGTCCCAGTTCGATCCTGACAACACTGGCTACATCAGCACTGAGAAGTTTCGCTCCCTTCTCCAGAGACACGGCTCAGAGCTGGACCCCCACAAGCTGGAGGTCCTGCTGGCCCTGGCAGACAGCAACTCCGAGGGCAGGATCTGCTACCAGGACTTCGTCAACCTGGTGAGTGCTCTGGCTGGCAGGGCCTGTCAGTCCTTGGCTCTGCTTAAAACATTGTCTGTTGAGGGACAGTCTCTCTCCCTGCCTCCCTCTATCAATGCCAGCGTTTGCTGTGTCCCTGCGTCACATTCTGCATGGGCTTGCTGAAGCATTCAGTGGTGACTGAACTCTCAAGCCAAGAGTCAGGTTGCTGCTGTTTTTTTTCCAGGGAAACAAGTTTGCATGGGAAGAAACAGTGGGAACTGTTGTAAGAGGAGCATGAAGCAATGGCTGCTGCTAGTTTAGAGGCTTTTGCTCTCAGTAGCAGTTGGTAGCTGTCATAAAGAGCTATTTGTTTGCAAGCAGAGGTCTGTCAGTCTGGATGTCTCCTGTTTTATCTAGAGATTTCACCACTTCCACACAAAAAAATATTGACAAAGTTGTGTTGACTTGCTGGGTGGAGTCCTGTTGCACTGCTGTAGGCATCAACAGCAACAGGGATAAAGTGTTTCTAGGTCATGTTCATTTTATCCCAGGTGAGATGTCTCAGACTGCATGAGTCATGATCTGGATGCCTCTCTGTCTCACTGATGAGTCAATTAGTGAAGGGATCTCTCTGTTTCTTGTCAAGGCAGTTTGGCAAGTCAACACGGATGTAGACATGTGTTGTTGGATGCCCAGGATGGCCTAGAGTTGTTGTCCGCAAGATAGGTATCTTGAACAGTGGCCATTCCAGGGGCTTTGCCCTGTTCTTGCTCTGTTATTCCCCACCTGAGTCCCAGCAGATTTAGTGCAGCAGTAAAAGAAACCTGGGTGACAAAGTCAATGAGCAATGAAGGTTAGTGACATCTCTAAGGTTTCGCTGGAAAGCTGGATGTGTTCTTGATGCAGAGTATAATAATTTGCATTTCTGTGTGTTCCTGCAGTCAACATGGGGATTTGATCACTCCATTTGTCGCCGTCACTCATGCATGTGTTCTTGGTTTAGAAAGAACATGTCTTCCATATGTCCTGTCTTCATATTAATCAGTAAAGTATGATAACAGGGCACAGCTGTCAAGGATCCAGGTCACAACCTCAGTCAGGCCATGGTCAATGTGCAGGTGAAATTACTGTGATGCAATGACATAGATCTGCTGTATCTCGTCAAGCTGTCTTGTTAGCCCCTTGCATGTATTTAGGTACACAGTAAAACAAATGTAGCAACTACTGAACAGATCACAGTGAGTGTGAGGTTTTCCTCAGCTCCAGCTTAACAAACAGTGTGGTCAACAGTACTCTGTGATCAGCAGCGTATTTATAGTAACAGCTGCTTGTTCTACAGTTTGGCATATTCAAAGTACCATGCAAGCATTCGCTAATTGAGTGAGCACACACTTAGGTAGCAGGAAGAGGTATCATCTAATTTCTTTTACAGAAATGATGGCCTAGGGCCAGCCAACACGTTCGCAACAGGCTCAGGAATGGAACTGGGCTTTTTCCTCTCTCCTCGCTCCACTGAGCTCAGGAGCAGCACAAGTTAATGAGAGCCAGGTGGGAGGTGAAAGGCTTGGACATCCTCCTCCTTTGGGGAATAGGAGATCGTGCCAGCTCACACCCACCTGATGTGATTTCTGCAAAGTGGCAAATTTCCTTCACTACTATTGAATGAGTCCTGTAAAGAAGCCATTGATTTTTCTGTCATCAGTCCCTCTATCCTCCTCTGCATTTTTTGCACTTTCTAATCAATAGGCAATGCAAATGCCAGAACATTAAACTACTTACAAATGACATCTCTCTTCTCACTCCTCCTCTAGTGGATATTGATTTCCAGCATCCAAACTTTTTAGGGCTCCTTCTCTTTTCCCTAGTTTCCTGCTCCCAGACCTGACTTTTGAGCTTCCTGATGGAAAGAAACAGCACAGTTGACACGGAATCACTGTGAAATTAGTGATTTCCTTCACTTTATAGATGTCAATCCTGGAAATTGCGTGGTGGTGAAGTGCATGCTTGCGCTTGATGATCATCAGCCATCTCTGCTTTTTGCTCAGGTTAATTTGGCTGTTTTAGTAGCTTAGCAAGAATTGATCTGCTCCCAAAAACAATGGTGCTGGATGTGGAGAAGGGAAAGGCTGACCTTTTAGTAGATCCACAGAGATTTTACAAGCATGGCTCTGTGTGTGTGGTTTTCCCTTTCTTCATCAACATTCATGAACAAGTACTCTGACATGATCAGAGAATCTCATGGACCCCCAGTTGTGTCCAAGGTACTGAAACTTTAAGCAAGAGGTAAAATTGCATGAATAAAGCTCTGGCCACTGGAGAGGCCGTGAGGGGAGGAGTGGGGCTGGGTATCAAAGATGCATTACAGTGCAGTTGTCAAAGCAGAGGTGTGAAAGGAAGGAGACTCCTCTGTGTGTGTGTGTGTGTGTCTGTCTCGCAAGCAGCTCTTTTGGTTTCTTTCCAAGCATGAGGATGGAAGGAGCTGATGAGCTGCCTGCTCAGGCTACTATGAAAAAAATTAACTCTATCCCAGCTAAAACTAGTACAAACATGCACTGTCTCACAGAACCCAGCAGAAAGTAGGGTTTAACCACTGGACATCAAGAGAACTCTATCTTCAATGGTCAGATCCTGGGATATGATATCCTCTCTGTTTTTTCTCTCAGCTTTGCTGCTGTTGATAAAAATTGAGTAGGGAGGGTCTTCCCTTTTTTCAGCCTTGTAGAACCCTTGATCTTTGCTGGGTTCCCTGGAACTGTGACAGAATGTGATGCTACTCGTTCTGCAGGGTGCTTGGCTACTTACTAGAGAGTCTGATGCCGAGAGAGGCTGTTAGTGACCTCAGAAGCAGCTGTAACTCGATGAAATTATTATTTACAGAAGGCACAACAGGCTATCAACCTCACAGAGCAATAGTGTTAACACTTTGTTTCCTCCAGGGTACTGCACGTCCCAGAGAGGGCAGTAAAAAATGCTCGCACCCATATGCTCCAACATCATCACGAGCACCAATAACTCTGCCTGCTCTCTCAGACACTGTGATCCCCAACTAAAGGACTGCTATTGGGCAAAGTTGTGTTATCCCCTGATTCAAAGTGTGTTGTGAACTTCTAAAGGCACCAAAAATGTAATTCTAGGACTTCTCACCTTAATAAGGAGACCCGGGTATACCCACACAAAACATATGCCTGTTCTCAACTCAGCAAAGCAGCTTAAATTTCTGAAATTGAAAATTTTACAGAATGAAAATAGACCCTAGAAATCACTCAGTGAATCATTTGGGTAATGAATAAATTCAGGGAAGCTGAAGACTCCTGGTGTGATCTGCAAACAGAAAGGGCTGGAAAAAAAAATCTGATAGGCAACTCATTGGGAATTATTTCTCCTCTGTACATATGAGATTCATCTCACATGGTTATAAAACACAATGCTGCAATCATATCCATTTCTGTTTCTACACTAGGGCTTGCAAGAATGGCAGAAAGCAGTTTCAGATGGGATTTCTTATCCTGTGTCTGAGATGGTGCAGAATAACAAAAGAGTTTCCTGTACAGGTGGAGATGCCTTGTGCATTTCTGTTGTCTGATTGCTTTTCTGCATTGTGAAGAGAGATGCTAAAAATGCACAGTGAAAATTCTGGCTATGAACAGCATAAGCCACAGGAGGAGATAATGAACAAAGCTGTTTAACTAACTTTGCTACCTTTAGAGAGGAGACAAGCCAGGAGGTAATTATAGTTGAGATGTTATCTGCCGGGATCCTTGCTGAACAGCAGTTGCTGCTGGCAGTCCTGGACTACTTCGAATAATGTCCTGTGAACTGTAACAGAGCTAAAGAGCAGAACAGTGAGGTCCTGGAGAGACTCAGTCTCTTATTCTCTGGCTAAACCTTCCTTGTCTTCTCTGCCTGGGAATGTGGATTGTTGCTTTGGACAGGCTGGATCATGGCTTTGCCATCTCCTCACCCTCTTGATGTGTTCCTCTTCAGACACGTGAGCAGAGGCAAGGGGGTGCAACAAAGCTTCTGAGACGGTACTTTGCTTGACAGAGGGGTAATATGGAGCCAGTTCAGGCTGTGGTGGTAGCTTATATTCTCTTGTGAAAATCAGGTAGGTAACTCCTAGCCTTGCTCTGGACAAGGAAAAGTTTTACAGAACCTTGTGTTTAATAAAGCAGCTTTTACTAGAAAAGTAAACCATAGGTTATACCAAGACTAAAGCAAAATCGGTTCTGCAGCCCAAGAGGTTTCTCTGCCAGTGCAACTCTACAGATCACTGCTGAAACAAAGGTGTTGTAAAAGCTGACCTCAGCGCATTCAGTGTGGTCCAGATTGGACCACACTGGTCTTGGGAGGAGGACTTGAGGAGAAGGGACTGTGGCTGTCCCCCATTCCAACACCGGCACTACCCTGGGAGGTGTGCCTTGCGCACACTGAAGATGTCTCTGTCCCTGCTACAGATTTCACGTTCAGAGGGCAGGCCTGGAAGTCAGGTGGACCTAAGTTGTTCCTGGCTGTGCAACAGACTTACTGTGAAACTTGTGGAAGCCTGTCTATGCCTCATGGGTCTGTTTCTGCAGCAGATGGAAGGAAGTAAGAGTTGCATCTCTGTTAGGGTTCACAGTTTTGGCAAAGCCAATGGCAATTCTCCAGTGGAAAAAGAGCCAGGTGCTGGGGAACCAGCTCTCTGATGAGCATTTGCTTGAGGGGCTGTGTTGGGTCTAGAAGAGCTGAGGCCAAATGCCGTTCCCTGAAGGCAACGGTATTTCAGCATGTTTGGGAGGAATCAGTAAGCTCTGAGGCAGAGTTCATGTGACTTGGGAAAAACAAAACACTGCTGCTTCCAACAGAAATGTTTAGCTGTAGCTTTGTAGTAACTTGAAGCTAATGTAGCATCTCAGTAGTGAGCAAAATACATTAGCTAATTAAACACACATCCATTGTTTTCCAAATCAAGAATTAACATCCGCCTTGCTTTCCTTCGCCTTGCTGGCTTCTAGGGACAGGCTAATTCTACCTCATTTTCAGTGAACAGCACACTTTTG